TAGACTTTAGGATGCTTTAAGGAATTATTATTTGAAGTGTGTGAAGTGGAAGCAATTCCGCGTTTCGTCTGATGAGTGTGCGTCCCGAAGGCCTAATTTAGTCCTCTTTCCCTTCCTACCCTTTTTCTTATAAAGAAAGGATGGGAAGTGGAAGTGGACTTTCCGGATGAGAGGATGCATGGAAATGTTTTCTTTCTGTGCGTCCTCTCCTCCGTCGATTAAAGGTAGGCATATGCTATTGCGTATGTCTAAGGATAACGGTCACTTTCCTATTTCAGCGATTTCAGATGGCCGCTCGCTCGTTTGCGACCTTTTGATATTAAAAAAAAATCTTACTCACTAAAACCCCCTCAGTCGCCAACCTCAAGTGCGACTGCGACGGTCCCAGGATCTTCAAAGGAACGCACCGGAACCCTTTGCACTGGGCTTCTCCACGGCTACAGGAAATTATTTTCTTGTGCCTTCGCAAGATTCGGCAACATCGGACCACGCAATGTTGCCGTCTTCTCGCGATTGCCCTAGAGATTTCAAGACCTATTCATCATACTTTTTTTTTATTTCCAATATATAAACTTTAATACTATAAATACTATGTTTTTGTATTATTGTATTTGTTCACAAAACATTGATATTATTTACATTCCGCGATTATTAAGTAACCACACAGAAGACGACTGATTATTTTGTATTTTGATCTATAAGAGTACGTTTTACGACAGACAATTAATCATTAATGCTTGTTTGGTGTAATCCTTTAGCAGTAGAGATGGATGATTTAAGACTTCACGTTTGACCCTTGTCGATATTACGAACATCAAACTGCTAATCAATCTGATTGCATGAGTAATAAAATCTATATATAGTAAATAAATTGTAGTATTTGTTATATCTAAAAAAAATATTTTTCATATACTTATTTAGTTAATGTAAATGCTTCTAATAATGATAGCTTAGAATACCCTCGTTAAATAGGCTGGTCACAAATCGCCAGCGATAATTTACAGAATAATGATAGCATCAGTATAAGTCTGGGCAGTGTTCACTGGGAGATCTAGCTATATCTGAAGCTAAGGGTATGAGAGGTGAAGGCGTGCGGTGGGGGTAAGGGGAGGGAGAGCTCAAGTGCAACATCTCAAGGTCACGCCAAGGCGACCGAGGTACGCCGTGAAATATTCGAGCAGACGTATAAATTGAAGACCTTTGAAAAGATTTAGAGAAAACATTTTTGAGAATATGTAACAAAATAAATGTCGTTTATTTTTTAATATCGTTACGTAGACTATGAATTTTAACCTGCCTGGATTTGGTGTCTTTACTTAATCAAAGCATTCTACGCGTCTTTGTAGTAGAGTGTCTTGTCCTAGAGTTTTAAATAATTTAATTATAAAATGTAACTAAGTAAATCAAATAAAAAGACTACTATATCGACAGCAAGTTAGTGAAAAAAAACCTAGATTAAAAGGATCATTAACATTTTTGGTAAGCAAGCTTGGACTAGGCTCTAATGCAAATGTCGGTGATGGCCGATAGGGGCGTGCGCGTGCGCGGCAGGCGACGTTCATTAGGCGCGCAACACACCGCACACCAGATTGCGATTTAACAATACAACCGATATTGCACTATACTGCTATTTTAAATTAACGGTATACTATTATATTAGCATACTGGAATGCGAGTTTAGTTTTAATATACAATTTAGCATAATACGTTCTTGATAAAATGCTTTTGTCCAACAATAGAATTATGTTGAAGCTATTCTAATGATGTAAAAATTATCGCTCATCATAACACTAATTTCTATATTTAGTACATTAAAAATAAAAAGATCAAGGTTCCAAATTTTGTCAGTATTTATTTTTTCCCTACCACACAAAAAATGAAAAATTATTTTATCTTCATTATTTTAATTTCGTTTGACGTCTTTATAATCGTCAAATGGGTTTATCCCTGACATTCAATTGATTCGTTCCCAGAAATGCTTACTAATAGTTTCTTATAAAACGATTAGGGTTCTGAAGGTTTAAAACGTAAAAAAAAGGAGGATTCCGAAACAGTTGTCAGATCCATTATACGACGATGACTTTTAGTTTTTCTTTGGGAAGAATGTTATTGTTATTTTTAAAGAAAATTATCACCTCTTACATTTTTTTTATATCATAAGGTGGCAAACGAGCGGTTGCCACCTGAAATCGCTGAAATAGCGAAGTGACCGTTGCCCATAGACATACGCAATTGCATATACGTTGCCTACCTTTAATCGACGGAGGAGAGGATGCACATAAAGAAAACATTTCCAAGCATCCTCTCATCCGGAAGGTCCACTTCCACTTCCCATCCTTTCCTTATAAGAAAAAGAGTGGGAAGGGAAATAGGACTAAATTAGGCCTACGGGACGCACACTCATCAGACGAAACGCGGAATTGCTTCCACTTCACGCCTGTCTTCTGTGTGGTCGTGGTATTTCACCGGGCGAGCCGGGCCAATTTGTGCGAAGATGTTGAAGCGGGCTCTACCACTGTTTAACTTACACTTTAGGAGCATTATGAAAGTCGCACCTAACTGCCACACACAGAGTCTTGTAATGATTGCTCATGGATACACTAAGCGTAGATTTAGTATGAAATATATCTGCTTAGCTTAGTAACCTTGAAATGATGTAGCGGTAGTAAGTCTTTCAACGCTCTCTTAAATATCCCTCCAATTAATTAATTAATTTTCACAAATTAATTAGAAGGAACGAGATGTTGGTTGCGAGATTAACCTTGCAAAAATGTTACGCGATCTTGATGCACCGAGATATCATTTACAAATCCCAATCTACCTCTAGTGACTGCAAATTACTATTGTTCCAGGAATATTAACAACTGTAATCCGCTACTCTGTCCGCGCGGAATTAAAAAAACTTAATTAGTGGCCTGTATTCTTCCAGGTTATGTTTTACATCTATACCAAATGTCAGCGGAATTCATGCAGCCGTTCTAGAGATATCTTTTAACATCGCATTCTCGTTTATAACATAATAAGAGTTAGTTACTATTTCATACATTTTAAGAATGTATCACCCATGATCGGAGTTTTTATATTCAAAGCGTTGTATCGCGGATGGATTGAATCATCAGAGTTGGAACACAATCTGATCGAATGACGATAATGTGACCGGGGAATCATAAAATTGATTTAGTATTCACCGATCGCATCTAACTCATGGAATTTCACATCGATGTGACGTTTGTGTTCCTAAAATGGCGACATTTTATTTCTTTTTTTCTATCATTTTAACTATCTTTCATTCATGATCGGAATAAATATTGCGTTTTGTTGAACTTCTTATTATGGAAACAGTGATAGCTTACTGGTACTTGTTAGATTTAGTTAAAATCATTGTAATCATTTATTTTTAGGCTTTTGCAAGTTTTAGGAGAATTGCGTAAAATGTATATTTTGATTCGATATCTTAAACATTATTTTCTCTTGTAAATAATTGGAATTGAAAACAGTTGGATTAAGGGCCCGATACAAAAGGCAGTTATCCTAGAAACCGCGCGCATCGTGAGAAGGTTCCTGTCTCTGTAGCCCTGACCACTGGTTGTTTGAGTCATGGGATTCTGCAGCTGGTGGTGTTCTATTTTTAATTTATTATATTTTGTATAATTTTTTATTTATAAATAAATGAATACGTAATAAAAATAAGGAATCTTTATTCCATATTAAAGGATTTCAATACTAAGCGTCATTAGCCTAATGGTTAAGGGTACGGAGTTCCGACCACGAGGTCGGGGGTTCGAATCCCGCTATTCGACTATTGTCGTAAACCATATCCTAGCACAAGCCTAGAGCTTAGTTGGAATGGTTAAAGAAATATTAGTACATTTACAAACAAATCTGCTATTTTAAAAAAAATATCAATATGGCCTTGTATCCTTAGGTTGGTAAACCTGTATTTAAGGAGCCAATGACTTCCCTTTCTAGTTAATCTTACAAAATAGATGAATATAACAAGTGAAATGAAAATGTTAGAAAAATTAAATTAATTAAAATAATTTTAAACTTATTAATTATATTATAAGAAAAAAAGGAAATAAATAACAAAACTCCTCCTTAATATTATTTAAATTGTTTGTTAATATACTAAAGTAGGAATTTAACAAAGACGTTAAATTTGCCAAAATTCTAGCAAATTAATTCACTATTATGATTCCAGTCACGTTCCTCCTACAATATCAGTTGACACCTCGGCGTATGAATATTCAGATACTGAGTCATTGACTTACAAAGATCGCGTGATCCTTCAAACACTTCCCTTTCAATTCCTAAATAATTCTATTATCATTAAGTTTCACTAAATTGTTAAATATAATTGTTACTTAGCACGAAGTAAGCATTGTGTTTATTATAAACTCTTATATAAACTCCTAGGGGTACGATACTGAATTTTAGTATATTGTTGAATTTGTATCCTCGAGTACCGATCCCATTGTGGTTGTAAATAGAGGTAAAATAAGCAAGCAAATGTCTGCACATTTTAATTTAATTTGTCACGACAACGAACAGTAATCGTAAATTCTTTTCAAAGAGAAAATGTTGCAGAGTAAGCGGCTTGAAAATAATTGACTTAGAGATGCTAAAGGGAATGCTAAATCCACCTGAATCGCACAAAGGTATTACTTAATTGCAATCCTTAAGCTGGAAACGACGTTAGGATAAAGCAAATGTAGTTACTTTATTTGGACATAACATTTTAAGACGTCGTTTTCTATGTCTTTATGGTCAGAGTGGTGACGTCATGGATGCGTTTTCTTTTGCACGAGTCGAGTATATCTAAACAGGTTTTATCTAATATCCGATAGTGTGAGTTCAAGGTTGTGCTGAAAGCTCGGCGTCGCATCCCGACGCGGCGCGGCGCGGCCTGCGCTTTTATCAATACCCGCGCACCGCAGCGCCGCCACACGGACGACGCCAGTAACTCCCCGGCGAGCATTGCGCACGCTCCGTATTCCCCGACTTTGCCGCATTTCTATCGCCTAATTCCAACAACCCCAAATCAATCCCATCAAAATATTGCAATATTTCAACTATCTCGACCTGATGCATCCGCCTCCTTCATCGCCCGCAGTACATCCCCGCTATCTAACCTAACGAACGGATTACGTCAATACGCGTCGACTCTCGTGTGCACTAATCGTTCGGACTGTCAATGTTTACGTTTTTGCCCGAAAACATTTTCCACCTGAAAAAGTGTAATATCGACCTCAACATCACGGAGTATTTGAAGGGTGAGTATTTTAAAAGTAATATTGTAGATTGTAATGTTATAAGAGTTTTTTTAATCTTTTTTTTTGGTATTTTTATCCATATGGGACATGTCAATCCCATTGTGCCTTTCCCTTTTATTTAGTAAACAAGCTGGCATAATGGTATCGCCACGATTGAAGCCGAGTCTGGCAGAATTGGTATAAGAGTTATATAGGCGCATCGAATGTTACTTTCGCTAGACACCGCGCTCAGGAATGAGGTTACTCTCTAAATAAACTGCGATTTTTACCGCGCAGTTTCAGCTTCACGGCTTGGTAACAAACATGAGTTCTTCATTTCACGTATCTAAATATTATAAGTCAAATGAAACGTGTATTGTAAACTCGAAAATGAGACGCACGTTACTATAAGTTCGTATTCCAATAGTAAACATGGCGTTCGATTTGCGTGCACTTAGTACGTCAGTGTGTCCTTTGTGCCTCAATAAAAATGCGTAATTCTTTTGTATACACCCTGCATTCAACATCGTGAGAATGTGTGCCAAGTTCAGGGTCAGTGCAACCATTATGTCCCACCGGTGTGTGCACAGTACATTATTTCCTATGTGCAAACAACCTGGCCTGCTCTATAGAACCGGTCTTATGTTAAATGAACCGCGAACAACTACCGATATAACAAGCGTTTCGCTATTCACCGAATTGTAATTGCGATTTGAAAAGATCGGTCTAGTTGTTAAAAGAGGTCTAGTTTTATTTTTATTATTTTTTTGCTATCGACCGGCTGCAATGTATGTGAAAGTGGTTTTAAATTGTCGCCTAGGTTGACGTGAAAAAAACTTATTAACTGTTCGACATCATTGTATGACCAATTCCTTTTATTATTAAATAAATTTTAAATTTATATTAATGTTTTCCTACTTGTATAACAAGGACGGGTGATTTAAAAAAATAAATGGCTGGCTGGAAATTCTTTTCATTAGCCGATCGGGCGTATTTGGCAGTGAAAATACTTTGTCTAAAATGTATTTTATTATAAAAAAAAAATAGCGCGATTTCTTAAAACTTATGACATTATAAAACCTTGTTTATTGTGTCTCAACTTCAACTTGCGCTCGTAATCCTATATGAAGATATATCTACTAAAAAGAAATTCGTATTACCAATAAAACTTACAGCTAACATAAACAGCGCTTTAAAGCGCAGCAATTAAATGCAACTACACTGCTAATAAACATGAGTTTCGCGCGTTGGGAATAATTTCCCCTTTGTTTTGTTTCAAACAGCTATAACTATTTCTAGCTTTGTATTGTGCAGCGCTTACAGTGCCTTTGCTACAAACTACTGCAGCCATTGTCACGTTTCGTCCTTGTAATTTTAAAGTTTTTTTTTATATATTTCTACATTGTTTTTTTAAAGTATCATTTTCTAAGTGGGGAGTAAAAACAGTACGTGGTTCACTGTTTTGGCTTTCATAGCTTTAACATAGATTATGTAGTAAATTTATGCTGGACTAGGCAGGTAATAGTAAGTATTCTAGTACTAACTTTTGCCGCGACTCAGACGGCAGGGAATTATAAAAAGGGTTTTAAGTAGCCTATGTGTTCTCGTAACTATGTTCTACATCTTTGCACAATTTTATCAAGATCCGTTACTTGATCGAATGTCCGTTGAGTCATTCTGGAACAAATTTGAACGAATTATATTGAATATATCAATTATTGGATTTAGATCGAACACATTATTTTTTTAATTTATTCCACACAAAAAATTGATTCGACATTTTGTGCAACTAATAAAAGACGTACCGAGCAATATAGCTAAGCTTAAGAGTACAATTTGTGAAGTGTTATAAAAAAAATTGAAATTTTAGGCTTAAAAGAACAGTGTAGTAAAGTTTTCGGTATCATAAGAAATTAAATTTTTTGGTAAATTTAAATAAATGCGAAAACTTAAACTAAACGAGTGTTCAAGTCAATTTAAAGTGGTTACCACTCGATCGAGCTCGCAAAGCTGTCATCGCCTTAAATAGTCTTGCAACGTACTCCTTCATTTCTCACAATGTCTTAAAATAGACTAAAACTGTTGCTAGTACCTCAATACTCTCGTCCGGTTAGCTAGGTCAACGTCATTTCATTGAGAAATGGCGATTGGTAATGATTAATGATTGTACTGTCCTCGTGGACCATTTCGACCTGCTTTTAGACATTGTGACAAGGAAATAATCATACGTTATGATTGGTAGAAGCCAAAGCTTTGTGAGCAGCGATGACGTAGCGACAGACACTATTCTATATCTCTTTTTATTGGTTACAAATCTAGAAGGAAAAGGACTGATCAAAATGAATGTGCTAAAAAGAAACCTGTTCATGGAGCATGGTATGACACAACTTTATTATGATTTGAAGAGAGAAAGGACAGAAAAAGTTTCAATACGCTTTGCAAAACTTTTTTAATCTCCATTATTACAATTTTCAATTCGGTAATTGATAAAAGACCTTTTCAACATACACCCAGAAAGTTCGAAATAAACTACGGCTTCACCATTGTTCTATATCAAACGATTTGCGAACAATCGTTGGGTAGCTTGCTTCGCACTTCGACAATGGAAACAAATACAAAGTGATTTCTAACAGCCGAAAATAAGACGCACGTTTAGTAACAAGTATTACTATGGCTTACGTCCTTGTAAATGAGAAAAGAATAAATGTTTATGATCTTACGAAATGTACATTAATATTATACACACATAGTCTGTGTTAGTTTCAAATGGTGTCAATGGTGACACTGGGAACACATCATTGAAGCTTTGAATGTGGGAGTATGGCTTAAAATTATACTTATATTTTTGTTTGTCGTCATCGCTTCCATATGTCCCAACCGAAGGGCTTAAAGTCTACAAGTTAGGGGGACATAGTCAAACACGCTGGCTTAGTCCGGGTTGGTTGACTTCACACATGTCTTTGAATTTCTTGTCAGTTTACCTTCACTGTAGGAACGTCGGATAAATTTTATTGACCTTATAGATTCGGTCAGGTCCGGTAGAGCGCTTAACAACTGCGCCCTGTAAAGATTTTGTTGCATAAATGATTTAGCAAGTTTTAAAATTAAATAGATGTAATCTTACCTTACTAATATTATAAATACAAATGTTTGGATGGATGGATGGACGTTTGTTTGAAGGTATTTCCAGAACTTCAGTATTTTGGGCATAGATGTAGAGCAAAATCGGGAAGAACACCTAGGCTACTAATTCAGTTTTTTATAATACGAGCGACTAGTTATCTAATATTTTAACTACTATCTAATAGAAATTATTCACATATTAATTTAAAACTGAAAGCTTAAAAAGTTTAATTATTGGAATTACAAAAAGGTTTGTATTACATTTTATAAAATTACTTTAGAAGCGTCCATCACCTTAGGGTGAAAGCAGCTATTGTCAACAATTCGGCAATTTCGCAGGGAAGTTAGTATAAATAGAAGCAACGCTGACGGTAGACTATTCGATCACAATGCGAAGCCCTTTACAATGCTCGGAATTACCAATAACTTTGATTGAAATTCCTATTAGCTTTCGATGTACACGCAATCGAACCGTTCCATGGAGTATTGTGTGTTAACTTGTTTTCAGATTTATTAAATAATTTAGCGATTTATTGTCGGAGTTGTTCGGAGTTACTTCATCATCATCAGCTCACTATACGTCCCCACCGAGGGGCTCGGAGCCCTAAGTTAAGGGTGATTAAGCCATAGTCAACCACGCTGGCCCAGTGCGGGTTGGTTGACTTCACACATATCTTTGAATTACTTCTCAGATATGTGCAGGTTGCATCACGATGTTATCCTTCACCGTAAGAACGTCGGATAAATGTACATATGTAAATCGGAAATCGAAAAACACATTGGTACATGGCGGGATTTGAACCCAGGACCTGCAGATTGCAAGTCAAGTGCTTGACCACTGAGCCACCGACGCTCGGAGTTACTTCACTTTTTTAATATACGACACGTTGTTATTGACCAGTTTGTGTTATATGGTCTATTAGTATGATTGCACAGTCTTAAAATAATGTTAATCTTACAAATAATTTGAAGTCACATCGAAGAAGTTTCGCTTCTTAGTAGTTTGCTTTATCGTTGTGAAAAATTTCTGGGAAACAATGTCCAAAAATAAAACATGAATTCCTATATCCACATTAGTAATTAAACATATGTTACTAATATTATACATGCTAATGGATGGATGGGTGATGTGAAATTTGGCATAGATGTAGAACAAAAGACTACTAATTAAGTTTTTTGTATCCCATGCGGACGAAGACACAGGCTACAGCTAGTTTTACTTATAAATTGAATTCTCCGACGCTCGACTGATCCGTAATATTAAATCTAGGCATAAATCTATTCATCCCAGTGACAAACATGCTTCAATATAGCGACCGTCATCAATCTCTAGTGAATAAAATAATTGCTTTTCGTCGCTAGCCTGTTACACCACGTACAAGGTCAAGTGGCCAAAGAAATATTGACCACCGTTTTATTTACGATGTTGCCAATATCCGCAAAAAATAATTTGTCAATAAAATTACAAATTGACTTTAAATAGAACTTGTTATGTGATTAAAATTTTAATTTATATAATAAATAAGTCGATTTTTTTCTTGAGGAGATGACATACAGAGGTTAGTTAACATAAATTTTTATTTTACACCTTCAAAAAATTGACAACGTCTAAAAAAATGATCTAACGCATTAAAACGAGGTTGATATATAAAAAAAAAACATTAACAATCATTATTGACCTAAATGTCTTAAACATATGCTGGATGTAGTCGTGAAGAAACACTTTACATGTTTCAACAAATTAAAGCATCGTAATGTAAAATATCAATGTTACAGAGACGTTTTATTTTTCGATTTGTTAGAACATTTGCCTAGGGTTGTCGATGTCAAATAAAGCTTTATATAGCAACTAATTTTATTTTATGTGGTAGACAAACACTGCTTTTTTTAAGCGACAGACAAGATGGTAATGATTTTCGCGCGTATGTAAGTTTTATGTATGTGGGATTGTATGTAGATAAACTCCATCGTGAAAGCCTATTGCCTAAACGTCTGAATCGATTTTAATGAGTAAGGTAACATTCGTCATTCGACATTCGTCTTCTTACTAAAATTATCTGAAATAGTACATCGGCCTAAAGCATACAGCGGACGAACGAAATAAAGCTCTAAATAATTAAAAACCGACTTAGCATATCTTGCCTTAACTTCTTTTACGTTGCGTTACATTTTTTCAAGTATAATATATAATCAACTCTAAATAATAATAAAAAAAACTAAAACAGTTTAAAAAGTTTTGACAACCCTAAATTAAGATAGAGTCGTCGACCCCGCCGCTAATTTATTCCTTTCAAATCCAACACCATATGAGACAATATAAATATCGAAACAAAAAGTTTCGAGGAAAAAAGACATTTGTGTGGTCGTCCTCTAACTCGGTCTCAAGGTTAAATGTTGTATGTTATTGATACTACCAAAAACAATGCGGCTCCGTCGCTTGACCAGCTAACGCCTGGCGACCGAAACGATGTGATTTCTCTCTGTAATTGTATATTTGACTTATATTTGTCCGGTTGGATAAAAAAAACAATTTGTTACACGTTCTGACCTTGCGATGTTATTCAATGTACAAAATATTATCGTCTTATTCGAGGAATGTTTTTGTAAGATGTAATTAATTTAATAGGTCATAGTTAGGGTTAAAAAAAAGACTATGACTGATATACGTAAACCGACGTATGACGACACTTTCTAAATAATCCTAGTTTTCAGGTTGCCAATTAGATTTTGGTCATAATGTAAAAACCATAACTGGCACACCAAAATGCTCTACTTTTTTCCATGGTAATAACTTTAGCTCGTCATAAGGGAACGGTTTCCTTATCAATCATATCGTACGAAATTAATAACTGATGAGAAAATTCTTTTTAATTATTCTTACTGAAGGAAAAGAAAGAGCAAATTGGCTAAAACTTTTAATAAATACATTAAGGAAGTCCAAATTTTAACAAAACAATATTTTTACAATCTCTTATCGAGTTAAAAAAAATATAAAATAATTTCCCCGTAAAAAGGTATCAAGGCATGTCAGAGTAGGTTTTTGTCCAGTAATTCGGGGACCTCGTTCACGTCTTAATTCGATACGACATCGGCTCGCGATTGGCGATGAATTCGCGTTTCGGAGCTACGCTCCGCACAAAACATCCGACCTATTTAAAAATGGATTTATTGACTGCTGTAAAAACTGTAATGATTTACAGAGGCCGTTCCTCGCTCGCTTTCGCTGCGGCGCCGGCACAGAAAACTTAATAAGGTCACCAGGTCGATAAGCAGTCATTTTCTGCTAAATATATTTATTCCTGCTTTCAACCCGAAGTTTAATACATATTCAAAAAGTATACAATGACATTTTCTTCTGTATATATTTAGCCACTATCTTAATTATGTAAGTTTAAAAAGTTAACTTGATTTTTGAATTAAGCTAAATACATTATCTTGCTTAATATATCTTACTCATATTATAAATGCGAATGTTTGGATAGATGGATGGATGTTTGATGGATAAAGATATCACCAGATCGGCTGAACGGATCTCGATGAAATTTGGCATACATACAGAACATAGTCTGGAAGAACACATAGGCTACTAATTATATATTTTTTAATTCCGCGCGGACGGAGTCGTGGCTGACAGCTAGTATACAAATAAAATTGCAAATTTGTAGCGTACGGTAGAGTTGAAATTAAAAGTAAAGGTTAGGAAAACCAAACTAAATTCATCTACAGATCATCTTTTGCATTTCTGGACGAATTAATATGGAAACAACAAAAAGACTTGGAATATTGAATTCAATGTTATAGTCGTAAAAAATTAAAAAAAAAACGAGTAAATTAAAATTAGCGAAGAATGTGAAGGCGGCAGAGTACTGGCGACAATGAATACGTAAAATGTTTGCTAAACATTTAACGACAAGGCCAGGGCTAGCTAGCACTTACCATATAATTTATTTTTAATCCTCTAAAGGTAATAAATTCCTTTAGATATTCACCCAATATTCAATGTATTAATTCTAGAAAAGCACGTTAAGTAGCATCGCAAAAACAATAAGAATTGGTCTTAATTGAGCAGGATTGTGTATTAGTTACAGCACGCATTCTGGTTGTTTCAGGACGCTATTTTGCACTGGGCTTGCATGGTTGATGAATGCCTAAATGCTCCTAATTTAGAGAAGACTCAAGCCCCTCGGCGTAGTGTAAGAGCTGACGACAACGTCAACTTCTTAAATATATCAATTTAATATCAATAATAAGTTAATTTGTGATTTCACACTTGATACAGCCCTATAAAAATGTGGTAGCGCACATCAGTCATCGGCCTCGGCTTCCGGCTGCGTTCCATAGTTCAATGCCTCGCCAGATTTACGTCTCGAGCACGACCTTCAGAACGTTCGCCGCATAGCCGCCGACAATCAACATTGCAACATACATATTGCTGCTTTTGTTCAACTAATATTAGATATCGGTAATAGAACAGCTCCATTGAATATTCGTTAAGCTTTACAATCGTGTTTGCACAATAAATCTAATCTGAGTGTTGTATTGCGTGATTCTAAGCGCTCGTACGTGATTTAGATGTTCTAATTTTTTTTCTAAGACTCTGTAATAAAGTTTTAAAGGCCTGTTGTTTTATGAACTTGTTTAATTTAATAAGACCAAATACGATAAAAAGTTGCTGTTAAAGAAAAAGTTCCAAAATTGTGTAATCAAATGAGTTACTTTCAGGGCATTTTAAACCTTACACGATTATGCGTTTCATAATGTTAGTAAAAAATCATCGCTACAAATATACTTGAAGAAAATGAGCAAGTATCAAGATTATTAAGAGTCATTCTCCGCCGACGTTTCGGCATCCGCACAAGCGGAGTCCAAATTTTCAATTTGCGTAGCCATCATCTTATTTACTCAGACGTGAATAAATTATTTTTTTATTGCACCGCTGCAGCAGCCGCTGTCGATCATTGGTTTGACATTCAAACAGTCTAGCTAACTCATTGCAACGACTGCATATATATACTATACGAATTTATACTTTATCACGAACGAAATACGGTTTACATTCATTTGTATGATCTTGGAAAAGATTGCGTCCAGTGCGGGCGCATTCGGTTTATTATGTCGTATATTTCTTACCCAAGGGCAGGAGTACAAATAGTTCATTTTTATTTGTACGACGGTTCTTCGAAACTGGTGCAGTTGATATATGAGTACGCGCGGCGGTCAAAACTATTGTTTTTAATTTGCATTCTCGCATACGATACGAGCATCAAGACTTATTCACTGCAGTACTTTACATATAAAACGCATTTCTATTAGGGCAAGTATGATAGTAAAATTAATACCCCAGAGATGCCTTGATCTTCGCATGGCTGTACAAAAAATTAGAAATAGAATTGTGTCTTGGATATGGATATATTAAAAGAACATTTTTTTCGCCAACATAGGGCAAAAAAAAAATATCTAGAGAAACGCGAGCCCAAGACGTAGTTGTCAAGGTATTCAATTGTTCCTATTTTTTAAATTAATTTATTTTGTTTCAGGTTTAAGAAAGGCTGTCGAAGTGTACGCGCGAGTGAATCTTTACGATTATAATATAAGCAATATAACTGCTAATATGTAATAAGTTTAACTTTACTGCCAAATGCAATAAATAGGTTAATTATATTTGAGAACGAGGTCCAGTTTTGTGTGAAAAGTGGAGGACATAGCGGCAAAGAGAAATGCCGGGTTTACCCCGGTAACTGATAGGTAAGTTATTTTTAAAAGCCTTATTAACTTTAACTTAAGTAAACTCTACAATTTCAAGAAAGAACTTAAAATTATATACGACAAATTTACATAATTTTAACATTGAAATGGATATAACAGCTACTTAATTTTAATAATAATAAAAATATTTTTTCTCTACAATTTAAATCACTAGTCACTACGCAATGACTTCAACTTTTTTACGTAATATATTTTGTTTGCCTACTTTTAATTAAAAAAAAATAACGTCAAACTTTTATAACAAAATATTACGTAAGTACATATCGGAGAACGAACCGATTGCGGCATCACTTGAGTTTCAATTAAGCGTAAAATAAACTTTACTACGAGGTCTATAAACTTCTTCCTGTGATATTACAGTTAATTTAACAACAGTAAACTTTATTAGCTATTTATTTTTGATAGTTAATTTATTTCATAAGAGGAGACTAAAATAAAAGAAAATTAACCCCCACTATAAGCAGTCTAATCATATTACTAAAGCACTTAGTCCACAGGGTGATGTTAATTTTAAAAACCTGGCGATTTTAGTCGCGTCTAACGCAATACAATATCGTAGATATGTACACTGGCACGCGATGTGTAGTTCTATCTGTCATCGTCATAGCCAGACGCTTGCATCCAAAGGGCCTGCCACAAATACATGCGACATACGTTTTCTTCGACGACATACGTCCTAGTTTGTATTTTGTTCATAATTTTACGAATACATTTTCGTAAACTCTTGGCAATATTGTCGCGAAAAAGTCGCATAATCCAAAGAACCATCCGCACCATGTATTATGTATAAATCATCGCGATTTTATTCGTATAAATTAATTGAATTAGTCAATTTAATTTTCATCAATGTATTTATCTTATCGTAAATTAACAGAAATGTTGGATCAGTCTATAGATACGTGTAGGCAGGTGTATGCATATCGATGCACGATCAGCTGCATCTTTAGCGACTACAAACAGCGGTCTGAGTATGACGAATATTTACATACAGTCAAAGAATTAAATATCTCTGTAAAGTATAAGGCAGAGACACACTTCAGACCTTATAGCAAAAAAAGTCTGAAATGACAGTACTTTAAAATGAGTAGGAAATGAAAGACCTTGACCGTTGTGCAGTTAGTGTGTAACTGCCCTTAGGTATATTCTAGAGAGCGGACCTCTTGTAAGACATAAAGCTACGTCAGGGCGCGTAGGTCGACACCTCGCTTTGGCTCTGATTAATTAGCTAGCTCTCGTACCCGTTATCTTTGCTCATTATCAAGCAGCTCCGGGCACGATTTTCTACATTTATTAGACTTAAAATACTATTTGCTATATAAATTTTAGATGCTAATGTTAAAATGAGATACTTTTTCTGGTAAAATTAATTTAACTTCTAGACTAATAGATGGCGTTGATAACAATTAATATATTAACCTTACTTTTATTATACATGTTTACTTATATTAAACTAAAATGGTTGTCGACTTAAAAGAAATAGTTTTATAAGATGCGATAATTTAACATTTCCTTGTTTGATTAGTGTAGATACTATATTAGTAGAACTTTGTGTACTAAACTTCTTATTCATCCTATTCTAAGTTAACCAGCATAATGAGGCCCCTGTAGTTATTTTATTGTGCAGGCCTTAGTCGCTCGGCTGACGTCGTAAACGTGCCCGGGAATCCTGCATAGGGAATATCGTGCGACTGAGTTATGAACGTCTATAAATTCCTGCCTAATGATTTATAATTACTTCTACTAATGACGCTGGAACTAGTTTTAATAGGACCCTAGGATGAATTACATCTACCAGATTAATGTCGTAATTAAGAATGACATTCGGGTTCGCTACTTCTACTTCTACTATCGCAGCGACATTGCAAGACGACCTGGACATACAAGTAGCGAGCGACTGGCTTTTTGGATGACAAATATAACACTGTATTCCGTAATCTTGGCGACTAAAATCGCCAAGTTTTAGAATTAACAAAGCCTTGTGTACCAATGACCTTAAAACTGACTGTCAAACTAGTCTCAACGCTACGACGCAACCAAATAACAGCTGAGCTTTTTATCGTCGAGGTTAACTTGAATGACCCAAGCTGAGTCTCGACACTTGTTTTGCAGTAACTTTCTTCGCGTGACACTTGGCAGAGAGACAATAACGTGTTTGCACTCGGTTGTTCGCGTGTAAATCAAATTATTGAGGGCAATCGTAAAATACAATCAGTGCGCTCGGCTCCGCGCTGTAATGTGTTTTAATCAGAGTGTTTATTGTGCAGTTATGCAAGCGATGTGACTGCAGGACGCGTCATCAAACTTAGGTCTTACTTCTTACTTAAGTTACTAATATTATAAATTAGAATATTTTGTTATATGGATTAATGTAGGAGGGTCGGGGGGGTATCTACAAAATCATATTTGTTTATTTATAAATAAAATTATACAAGTTTGCAGATTGCAAAAACGATGAATAATTCATAACTTGGCAATCGAAAAGGTAATCGAAACTTTCACATTAACTTTGTTGAGGTCTAGTAGCTTCTTGGTACTACAAAAACATCTAATCGGATGGTGGTATCTCTTTAATTTTGAACATCGGTCAAATTCCCAGTATCAAAGATCACGTATGTAAGTTGCATTGCGTAATTCGGAGTCGATTCGCGTGCGTTGCATTGCCAACGTGCCAACGTTATCGTGCGTTTCCCGGGCCGACGGCTGCGTGACCTTTGCCGCCGGAAAACTGGGTCATCGGCTTCTGACCTTTTTGTTTGTGCACTTTGAAGACGGACGATGCGTTTAATTCGCGAGATCTATTTCGGATGCAAGAGATACCTGTTAGTCATCTCGGGTATTGTCTAAGATTATTTTAGTTGGACATATATCCATGTTTTGGTTTATCTTTTTATTTGTTTCATAACTTTTTTAATTGTCAATGTCCTTATCAAGACAGACAGTTTATTTTTCTTTTTAAAATAATATTTAAAAAGATCATTTACATGATTTCTAACTTCTTAGAATTTTATCGATTTTATATTTGCAAGCATGGATGCATGTATTCGTAATTAGCCCCGGATGTGACTAATTCTAGCCGCTGTATTATTAAAACTAATTACTACTAACTAACAACTAGTATTATATACATAATTATTTAGTTAGGTCAATTGTTTATGGCGGAAGGGCGGTATCGACGGCAGTATGAGGTCGTATCCTGTTAATGGAATTGTGTGGCAGTAGATTGCTGTGTTGCTACCACTGATATTTTATTTTTAACATAAAATAACTCCTATAGCTGTCACCCGCGACTCCATCCGCAGGGTTTAAAAAAACTCAAAGTGGCCTATGTGTACTACCAGACTATGTTCTATATGTATGCCAAATTTCATCGAGACCTTCAAACAAACATTCATCCATCTAAACATTTGCATTTATAATATTAGTAAGATAGCTATCACCCGTGACTCCGTCGGCACGGGGTTGAAAAAATTTAAAGTAGCCTACATGTTCTACCAGGCTATGTTCTACATTTATACCAAACTTCAGCATCGTCTTTGCAGGCGATCTGGAGATATCTTAGAACGAACATCTATACATACAAACATTCGCATTTATAATATTAGTAAGATTGCTGTTACATTTTATGAAGTTAATTTTTACAGCCTGTAGTTTCGAAGGATTCGTGTAATACGTATTGTAAAATTCACGTAGTAAGATTTTGTTCCATATCTTCTTCTGTAATAACTAACTTTACACATAATTATCTTGCCTTTAAAGCAATATTTCTAATTTCAACGTACATAAAGTGATTCTTCAATGAAAAAAATTGCAAGAATATATTCAGTTTGTTCACTAATACGATATACAGGAGGTTCATATTTCAAAAATAATCAATTTATTATGCGATGGTTTTTATTAAACTTGTGCATTCTTATTGCATCGCGCATTTTCACTGCCACAAGAGTTCAGTTACACGGCATCACCGCGTGTTCTGTAAATAGAACAATGATTAATTAAGTCGGTTGTGTAAAGGGCGCACTAGAGTTGACCCTGTGCGCGGTCGCTGCATCGCCTTGCCCGCACAATACCGCTGCAGCCCCTTGCCAATGACGCGATGTATAAGGATCTAATACAATTATAAAATCGACCGATATGAAGAAAAGAGTAACATGTCTATTTTACAACATGTAACAATTTCCTAAGATGACGGTTTGTTGACAATTTATCCGACTGCTTATTAAATTAATTCCTCTTTTTACAAAAAAAAAATAGAAATCCAGCGTATTACACGTATATACCAGTGTATATCCAACGTATAACCAGGTAACCAGACATAAATTGACCGATAATTGAAGAAATATAGACGAATTGAGTACAGCCACCATCTTCCTCGATATAAATCATTTAATTTGCCTATCCGCCATCTTCCGTGAAATCCTGTTCCTAGAACACAAATACATTCTCCGGAATAAGCAATGTTTTAATATTAATTTAAATAGTTCGTAACATAACATAGTGGCATTGTTTCATGCACTAATCGAAGCTGTAATTGACGTATGCCTGGGCCGGGCCGGGCTGCACGGGGTAGCGGTGACCCAGTTACTATGACCGGGTCATGCCCCGTCCCGTAACGCCCTCAAACCACCTGCAAGCTATTTTAAATTATCATTTGTGTACATACGTTATTAAAGCAAATGAGTCTTTGTGTTACGGCAAAATAATCCATTTGCCCGCGTCGGTCGCACTGCACGCACGGATTGCTTTGTCTTGATGCGATGCGGGCGGCGCGGATGATGGACACAGCGCTGTATAAACTAAAATCCGGTGCGGGCCGTGCGTGCGGTACGTCCGGCGCGAGGCAACGGACGCGTATCATTAATAGTTCTTACTTTATGCAAATTATAATTAACAATTGAGATTAACGATATTTTTAGTTTAAAAGTTTCGTAACGTTATCTGGAAAATTAGTACAATTAAAAGTGAAGGAGAGGTTCGGTTAC